ACCAGCCAGGCTTTCACTCTTTCAGTGATTGTTTCCTTTTCCTGCGACTTATATCACAACTGAACATACATCTGTTTCCCTTTGTTGAGCAGGGGGGGTGTGTGTGTGTGTGTGTGTGTGTGTGTGTGTGTGTGTGTGTGTGTGTGTGTGGTTTTCCATGTCTAAAAGAGCGCTGGATGTGTGACAAGTCACTGACACGAAAAAAGACGAGAGGGAGAGGGAACGACGGAGAGAAAAAGAACGAGTATTATACAATTTAGAGAGAGCTGCAGAAGTGGAACACAGAAAATCAAAGAACGGTTCTGTTGGCTAAGAAATAACTTTAAATGAATGGATTTGTTTTGTGCTATGATTGAGATTCAGTAAGATCCTTAATGAGTCTTAAGTTCATGACAGCTTGTAGAATAGTTAAAAAATACATTTACAGAAATGCTATTATATTCAACAATAATATGAATGTAAAACTCCTTTATATCAGTTGGAAGTTTAATTCCTGCGTTATGAAAGCTTGCAGGAAGGCTGCTGAGATAGTGTAGATACATTTGCATTTGCAGTTGCAGGATTTGCATCTTACAAACTGGCATCAAGCTAATTTTCCTCCTTAGACTGTATAGTGTTTGCACCATACCAGAATTTTAAACTTCAATACAATTGTAGTTAAAATCTAACAACATCCTACAGTTTTATGCTCGGGCAACGAAAGGCGGGTCCTAGGCATCACAAAGTAAAACATTTTTTGTTTTGATTTACCTTAAGTTGCAATCAACCTCTGCACAGTATCTAAATTGCACTAACACAATTGCATTATTTGAGCACCCATACAAAGCCAATGTATCTGTGCATTTTAGACAGTGTCATGTCCTCTGCTGCCTGTTGGTAAGAAACATAAACACAACATTTGCATTGGACAGAGATGTGTAGATTCAACAGCTACAAGTGTACAACGGTCACTCGTTAGACTGGCTGTTTATTCTTGCGTCCAAGTCAGGGCACGTCTAAACAAAAACTGTGTCTCGAGCAAAGGGAAGCAGTAGCACACAGATTGAGGAAGGCACAGAGGAATAGAAAAAGGGGGGATAAATCTGGTAGGAGGAGATGCGTGGCAAAGAAAGATGACAGATGTTACTGTCAGAGGGGGGTTGATGGAGGGAAATGTCACCGCATTCACCCTGAAAGAGAGGAATAATGGGAGATGACAGCGAATCAGAGAGGGAGGGAGAGAGGGATGCAGAGAGAAAAGCTGGGAGATAAGAGGGGCTCTCGGGGCACATATGGCTGTGGACATGGTCAATTTGAATGTGTTTGTGTGGGGACTCCACTATACAGAGATATTCCTCATATTTCCCCTATATATACAGTATTTCTGTGTGTGTATACTATAAGTGTGTGTATTTGGATTCCTTGGCCTACTTTCCCTTGGCATGAGCTGGATGACAGCCAGCAGAAGGGGTGTTGAGTGAGGACTGGCCGCACGTGGGGCTCAGTGGGAAAGTGAAGATAGAAACACACACACACACACACACACACACACACACACACACACACACACACACACACTGGACAGGAGGTTTAGGTCGTGTTTTATGCTGAATGGCTTTAAAACCCCTGTAGAGCGGCCTCTTTTCCATTAGGCTCCGCCAGCTGTCCACAGCAACAATAACTAACTCACCACTATAAAGTTTTGGCACTGGCTCCCACTTTATCTTACGGCCATAAAAACCATGAAAAGCCGTCACTGTTAATAGTACGAGGCGGAGTCTCCTTAAGTGTAAACGTATGGGAAAAAAAAAATCTGATTTAGCTTCCTGACGTTTTTAGCTGTCATCTCCCAGTGCAGTACTGTTTCCTGTTTCTCAGTGACTCAACATTAAGTCTCATATATGTCCATATAGAACATCTTCTGGACAGCATGCTGTGGTTAGCCACATCTGGTTCGATCGAAGCCAATGACACACACATGCAACAATTGTTTGAAATGATCAGCACTTGAGTCTGTTTAGGTACGAGTTTGGGGAAAGTTGGTTCTGGGATTTTGCTGCAATTTCAGTAGTGCCCACATAAACTGTAGGTTTTTTCTGTAGTGATAAAATGTTTGTTAGGGAAGGTCAGTTCATTTGGGTTAAGTGGGCAAAGGCAACAGCCCTAAAATCACAGATTATCATTGGCCCGTGAAAACTGACGACAGGTGAGCTATTTGACATATTTATTTTAAAGATATTTTTTTAGCTTGCATGGCTTTATTGGCGAGAAGGACAGTGGACAGAGCAGAAAACAGGGACGATTGGGGAATGAAAACATAGTGGAGTGCTGAGGGACAAATTCAAACCAGGGCCGCCCACCTCGAGGACCTCTGAAAATCTGAAGGAACTCTAGCTGTGGCTGCAGATGTGAAGCAGCAATCGATGATCACAGACAAATACAAAATAATCTCTGTTTGACGTTACAATCAGGAGTTAGCTCTCCTGTAGGTTTAACTTGGCGTTAAGGCAAAACATTCAGTCAAGATTCTCCTTTCCAGAAGACTTCTGAAGCCATAATGTTAGCTTCAGCTTGTCCAGGGTTCCTGTGTCAACATGTCATTTTATTGCATATATTATTTAATGAAGCTTTCCTTTATCAAATACTGTGCATGCCATGAAACTACAACTTAAGAATTTGAATGCAGCCTCATGAGACATCACTCTAAAGGTAACCAGATACAGACTTACACTGTGCAAAGGGAATAAGAGCGATAGTGAATTAATGGTCAGCAGCAGGTCACTTTTGCTGTGGAGTCACATAACAGGTTGATCTACCCTCACAGGGGGGTGTACAGGGATTGTCACGTCTGCTGTCATAACACACACACAAACACACACACTGCTGCAGTATCGAATGAACCTCACCCACAGGCACACGTATACAAGATGCCACACACTGCTATTAATTACATTCAGCACACTGATGCAATGACCATGAAACAGTCCACATATTTAGAGGATCATTTAAGATATAGTAAGATATGTAAGAAAACATGGTTGCAGAGACCTCGCTGTGTTAAACAACCTAAAGAAATGGCTGCTTTTCATTTCACATGTACTTATGCACGCTCTTCTTCTTCTTATAGAAAGATGGCAAAAGACGAAAAGAGCAAAATGGAAATGCTATGTTTTTTCTCTTTACTTTTTCCCCCTTCTTCCTTTAAGCTCTCGTCGAAAGGCTCTGCGCATTCATAAAGAATTTACCATCCGGCTATTTATAGACAGTGCAGTGAGAACTCAAGGCTGAACAAACGTTTGAGAGAGCGATGGCAGAGAGTCGTGCTCAGCTGAGATGTAGATCGTGGCTTTTTTTGTGGAAATTGGAATCATAAACTTTCACTGCCGTATTTAACAGGCTTGTGTAAGGCTCCAGGCATTACTTAATGCATGTTTGGTTATGTAAAGAAAGAGTCAATAAAAAGCACAACATTCAGAGTGGAAAAGAGGGATTTGCTTTTTTTAAAAGCTGCTTTGGTGCAGTTTACTTGAAATCAACTTCTTTGTATTTTTATGGAACAAAGGTTACAAAGGTTGCTTCCTGTGTAAAAATGTTCATGTAAATCTGAATGTCAGTGATATTTTGCATGACAAGCTTGAGGTCCATTCATTCACAAATGCAGTAAACCGGTGCATAAAGAAGAGCTTTGTGAGCTGCTGTTGGTGTAAGCTCACATTGTGCAAGTGAGTGTGTGGCTGATAGGACATAATATGGTGTAAAGAGTGTATCATTCATACAGTGAAGACCACCCATTTCCTTTTGGTGGCATTGAGGAAATCCTCCAGGGTGTCTCGGCCTATTCAGTCCTCTTCTCCTGTTGAATACACACACACACACACACACACACGCATATACACACACAATGTACGCTCCATTGACGGAGTGAGGGCACTACAGGGGCAGATCTCAGTGATTCTGCAAAAACACAAACAGACACACACTCGGCACAGGCTCCATTGTACACCATGGACAAGAGCTCTCTTTGTGATGGGTTGAAGAGCAGCTGATGTAAAGATGCAGATATCATGGCTCCCCTGCTGCCTCTCCATCTTTTTGACCATACTTATAAAATGTACAGGAGGTGGTTAAGGCCACGCTGATGCAGTCATTTGTTTGTGGGCTGACTACTAGAGTGCTTACCTACCATTTGTTTTTTTGTGTTGCTGGAGTGGAAGCTACTTGTCAATGAAAAGATTAGCCATACCCAATGCTGTATTGAAGAAGACTTGACTTGCTGCCCCCTCTTTGTGAGGAAATGTTTCCATTACTTTTGAATGTCTTTGGCTAGTTTGATTATGGTGGCTGTTGCATCTTATGTATCCAGGCCAGTTAAAACAAGCGGAAACTGATGAATGAAGCCAATGCACAAGTGCAGAAGTGATGATAGAGGATGATAGAGTTTTACATAATTTAACATAATTAAGGGGCGTGCATGATTTGACCAACAACAGGGTGCATTGTAGTTTTTTCCAGGAGGCTAAAGGCCAGCTCGACTTCACCACTTCGTCCTTTAGTAGACTCTCAGAAGGTTGGATTGAGTCAACATTTCCAACATGGCAACCTCAATGGTTCAGCTTCAAAGTGCTTCTTAAGAGACCAATGCATGACGTCACTAAGACATCCATGTTTCATGCAGTGTATGGTAAAAACACATTATTACTTTTTTGTGCATTTAAAATCATTTCTAAATCATCGGCATTGAGTAGATGCTGCTCGTGCAGACAGCCCTGAAGCCCTTATGACTGATAACAGGCTGAATCTCTGCTGTGCTCTGTCGTCTTTGTAAATAACTTGAATTATTTACTGCTCATTAAAATGTCATGCATTGTACAGCGTGCAATTGAAAGTCATTCCCAGTGACACTTGGGACACCAAACAGGCCAGCTTGCATCATCAATGTCTCTATAACCTTTTTTCCCTTCTCTCTCTTCTAGATCATGCCCCCCAGATAGCAGCCTCGTCCTCCTCTCCACTCCCCCTCCCTGCCCCTGCCCCCCCCCTCCCCCCTCCTCTACCTTCCTGGTCCAGCATCATCACTGCCACCTGTGTCACAACAGCCACCATGCCCCCCAGGAAGAGGACGCGGCCAGGTCTGGGCTTCTTGTGCTGCTTCGGGAGCAGCGAGCCCCCGGAGATCAACCTAAAAGACAGCGTTCCCCTGCAGCTGCTGGAGTTCAGCGCCCCCATGCCGCCCGCCGAGGAGCTGCATGCACGCTTCTCTGAACTAGTGGTGAGTAAAGACGGGACTGATCTGAGCAAGCGAGTTTAATAGACCTTGGAGAGGATATGATGAGGTGTCTTTTAATTTAAGGCCTGGAGTTTGACTCCACTCTACTATTGAATCAACTTCGGTCCTGAATGGCTCTACTAAATGACCCGATATAACTCCTGGTAGCCATAATAAGGACCAAATGAATTCAGCGAGTCTTGAACCAAGACATAATTGTAAAATTTATAATAGAAGATGAATACATTTTAAAACTCATAAATTTACTGATAGTTTTTTTGCAGAAAAGTAATCTGGATGAACAGAAAAATGAACCAATGGAGCAGTCAAACCAAGAGGCAGCTTCCAGTCCTGAAAAAAACTGCAGTTCCATAAGTGTCCACTTGAGGCTGGCTCAGAAAGCCTGGTCCTGTATGTAGATCACCATGTTTACAGTAGGAATACTCTCTACTTGAGACAATTTTGCTTAATGCTCCATGATTTATTTTTTCATTATATTAGAACAATTCTAGGATGGTGCAGAAAGGTATACGACTACGTGTGGATCATCTGCTTATGCAACTACAATCACCCACTGATTCAGTTGGAGCCAGTTCCACTAGAATCTAATGCAAAACTTTTCTGTTTTCGATACGAACTCCAAAATTAGTCACTTTACAGATTTGCCATCCCTAGAGTGGAAAAAAAGTTAAATATACAAAAATTGGCTTCAAGCAATACTTGGATAGATTGTAAACCTTGGAGTTTTCTTTTTTCCTTTGCCAGGCAATCCATTTCTCTTCTTTCCCTTCATTTGTGTGTTGTTAATTATCTGAACCAAACTGGATCATGGACAGGAGCTGGGAGGGAGCAGATCATGTGGAGAGTGTCTTGATGGTTGAATGAGACCACACCCTAAACCCCACAATCCACAAAATTCAGAAGCTCATCCTTTTCCACTACTCGTAGACCACCTTCATGCGACGCGTTCCCACCGCCCTCCGTCTTGCACTGCTCACACTTTTTGGCAGGAGATGTAGGACTTAAGCATTGGCAGACGTGCGTGGCTGTGTTGGCATGTTCCCATGGTGTGGAGAGGGATCAGGGCACAGCTGTCAGGATGGAGGAGTCTGCTCTGGCTCTCGGCTGCCATGCAATCTGGTTCTGTCTTTGCTGGAGGAACAGAGCTTTGCTGTTTCTGTTCCTATGTTTGCTCAGTTCCTGTCTCTTTGTCTGCGTCGGTCCTGTCTGTCTCCATCTCAGCGCCTTCTGTTATTCTCTCTCAAACCTCGGATATTTCTCTTTTCCTCTGTCTCTATCTCCCTCTTCAAACTGTGTACTCAGCACCATGGCTGCAGGACTGCTTCTGGCACTGTGGAGTCTCAGTCTTGGGGAATGCTAAACTTCACCGCCTGCAGGATATATCACTCCGCCAACTTTCAAAATTCATTCAGAAGATTAAGCGAAATTCCATTTGTGATAGGAAATTATGCACAGATATCAAAGCAGATGTTTTCCCATTGATGGTCTTTTCCCCCATTTCCCCAGCTGATTTAACCTGACTTGACCCTACATTTACTGTCCTGGCTCCTCTGTAAACACTAGCAATGCCATTAAACCCTAGGAGCTGCTCTGTATGTGGAAAAAAAAAAGATACAAATCAGGATTTTAGCATTCAAGATAACTGCCCTAATCTGTATCCTTTGACTGAATAGAGAAGCATGATAATCATCGATACATCGATCAGGTTTTTATAGAGATCTGGAAATGCTAATGGCATGTATTTCTAAGATACAATTAGCTTTTTGGAGTAAATATCTAAGCTTTCTATGAACCTGACAGAGATGCATCAGCTGAAGAAGATACAGAGCAGGCACATCTGTTTTTTCTGAGACACAAAGCTGTCGATCTAGAAGACAAAGAGGATTTGGCATTTCTGTCTTTGGATCTTGTTCCATCCACATGTTGTGGATAGATTATTCTTCAAATGCTTGTTGAACAGCTACATCCGATGTTTCGCTGTCAAGCATCAATGTTTTGTCTTTGGGGTGATTTTTTTGGGCTGTGGCCCATCTTACCTTTACTTCATTGCTAGATGTACTCAAAACCTCAAATGGGAAACAAGAGAAATTGTACAAATCTTTTTGTATTTTATTTTATACATGCATTACCCCTCTTGAGCATTGGACATAAAATGCAGACTGCAACTGAAACTGCTGCAAAAACAATTCTGCTTCATCAACAGTTCAGCGTGCATATTTTCACAAGCCTATGGCTCTACTGAACATGCAAGGTATGCAAAATTGATCTTTTAAGGATACACCTGCAGCACTTCTTTGCCAGGTTGTGTGAGCCAGAGCATATCAGCGGGATGAGGTTTTCTTTCTTTGGGGATCGTCTCTTCAGTTTTTTGGATCCAGCAAAGTGTAACTTTTCACCAAGGTTGTGATGTATGCTACTAAGTTAGTAAGCAACTACAAACTGACACTGATTAAATTAATCCTGACAATAGAAGGAACTCTCCAACCCAAGCTGCTAACAGTTTGTAGCATCTGTTCTTCAAATGGTCTAAACTGAAAATAATTCAATCCCTGACTGTTTGAGGTCGTGTCTGCTTTGATTGGATGACCATTGCATGAACTGCCTCTACCTAAGGATGCTCATCTGGTCAATCTATTTTTCCTCCACATCTGTTTTACTGATGCTGTAGTCGACATGCTGACGCATTTGATCAGACGTCCAAAAACACAACAGCCATCACTCGGTGCTGACACGATGCTTGTAATGCTGAGACATCGAGAGCCAATGTGAGTAGATGAGGAGCTAAACTCTAGGGGAAAGATGATATAGAAAAAAAAAGGGAAGACATAACACAGTGTGTTTCCAAGGCAACAGGAGACAGGGATTATTGTTATGAAAGCCTTTTCCTGAGGAGGAGAATGAGACTCAGTGGAGCCTCTAGAGTGGGAGCGACAGATCTGGGCCAAACGGAGGAGTTAACCACCTCCACGTGTCTTCATGTCCATAATGGGGTCTTCCTCTGTGACTAGAGGCTGAACAGTGTGCACTCGGCGTACGCTGTTAGAAGAAGAAAAGACTTCAGATCACTTGTCCCTGACGTTTTGTGTGTGGTGTTTTTGTCCAGCTGTAACTTGTGCCATTACTGTTACTTTGAACGTGTATATGGAACACATTATTGACGTCTATTTTACATGACTTTGATTTGTAAAAGTTTAAGTAGAAACAATGTGGTGATGAGCTAGGTTTGCCTCATTTCTGGATAACAAACCAGTCAAAGAAGCGATCTCTCTAACTCCATCTGGCATCTTAAGATGGGGGTCTGACTGTAAACAATGACGAGCATGTGGCAAATGAAGTCTTGGCCTAGATATTCATTAATGCTAACTTTTTACAAGCACAATGGCAGATTCCCTAAAATATCGTCAGATTCCACAGCATCTTTGTGTGCAGCATTTTGTCCTCGCCTTGGTTTTGCTTCGTCCAGTTGCGCGAGCCCTTACCCACTTGGTCTGTATCTGAAGTAAGGCATGAGCAGCTGGACTCATGGGTTCACAAGAATCACAGGACACAGTTCCTTTGCCTTTCAGAGGGTTAATGTGTTGTTCATTTAGTGTCTGTTTTGACACAATGTCAATAAAGTAATAGGATGTTGGATTTTGAGTCTGTATGCTACATGGTGTTTTATTTTTAAATTTAACCAGATGCTCTATGCAATCCCTTCTCTGCCATCCTGTCTGGTTCCTTCTGCTATGTTCAGCTTGATGCGTGCGTGCATCTTTCTACGTCAAAATAAACTTGGCGTGTTTTTGAAGCAGAGTGGAGTGACGATTGCGACGCTTGCAGAAGATACAGGAGTATTGACGAGAGGGTGCGATCAGCTCTGCAGTGTGCGTTGTGGACAGAATGAGTTGCATACAAATACCCTATTGACTCTGGCCATCAACTAATATGTAGCTTACAAAACAAATGATGAGGAATAAGAGTGTGGTGTCCATCCTTGATTCCCTCATGTTAACACTCCTCTGGCAAATGCTCAACAAGTTTTCTGAGCCTGGAGAATAAATCTGCCTCCATGTCCTCTGTAAAACCATATGAAAGCAGTCTGCAGCCGGTAACGACCTTGACGAACTCGTGCAAATGAACCTGGGAGTAATTGTCTCTGATTTGAACACATGAAGAAAATACCACATCAGAGGGGCTAATGGACCATATCAATTAAAGTACACTTGCAGCTGGCTGCAGAATGTCCACATATAAAATGTGCCACAGCTCTCGGTTCTGTTTTATGAATCTGGGTGCATTTTCAAACAGTGATTTTCAATCAGGGTTTCAAGGCTTGCATGCATAGCTGATATCTAGGCCATGTGTGAAGTTTGGCAGCAATTCAAGTACAGTGAAAGCTTTATTTATGTTTGTCGAGGCAATTCCCTGCTAATAACACTTTGTAATCAATGCTAAAATGCTGTAATTTCTCAAGTAATCAAGAAGGGGCCCCGATCAATCATTTTAATGCTGGAAGGCATTTCACACTCGTAGCTGTTGAGTAACCAAGAGGGCAGTAATCATTTCTCGACAAAGGAACCAAAGTGTGGGGTTGATTGGGGACAACTAGAATGACATTTACAAGTTACAGCTGATGGCACTGAACACAAAGCGTTTGCTTTGGAAGGTGGCATATGGTCACAATGTGTCGACACATTTCCCCTGCACACTAAAACGTGTCTAAAATGAGAAAAGCAAACATAGAAGAAGTTATGCAACTCATTAAGAAACATTCTGGGTGGAGAATCTGCAGTGGAGTAGAATTTAATGTTTGTTTGATTAAGATTGAAGTTGTAAAGGAAAACAAATTGAAGTCTGTATAAGCTTGTTGCTGGCTTTTTTTTTCTTCCTATAAGTTTCCCCTAGGAGCTGTTTCCTAAAATATGATGTTTGGAATCATAAGTTGAGAAGATTCAAACTTCACAAACCAAGTATCAAAATGGAGCTGAATGATCATCAGA